GAAATTAGTTCGCGGAAATGGGACAAATAGTTTGTTAACAGAGTCCCTCAGGGAGTAACGCGTTTCATTTCGTTTAACAAACTTAGATGATAAATATTCAGGAACAAGGCCATTTAAAGACTTGTATACCATTATGGATTTCTGTATTTGAAATTGAGTGCTCAAGTCTTTCCAATCGAGTTGTCTAATCAAACGGTTAGCATCAGCATCATAGCTAGAGAAGGTTAAAACGCGAGCGGCACGGTTCTGAAGCTTCTGTAGCCTGTCAAATAATGTTTTACCACAATTACCCCAGACAAGATTGCAATAATCGAAATGAGATTGAATTAGTGAGTTGTATATATAGTGAAGGGTAGGTGGAGGGACAAAAGGTCTAATTCTTTTTATTGCTCCAATTCCGGAAGCGACCTTTTTAGATAATTTATCAATGTGTGTTTGCCACCGTAGATTTTCATCAATAAATATTCCAAGCGATTTGACAGAGGAAACGTGTTCTATCGGAACATTATTAATCGAGAGCTCAAGTGGGTTCGACAAAGTACTCAATTTTTGTCTGGAGCCAATTAGCATGAATTCAGTTTTAGAAGTGTTCAAAGTAAGTTTATTGGAAATAAGCCATTTGTTTAGGTTATCTAAATCGTGACTCAGAGTTAACTGTATTGAATTCACATCAACGCCAGCATAAGTAATGTGGGTGTCATCGGCATACATTCTAGGCTGGCAAGAAGTAAAACAGTTTGGCAAGTCATTAATATAAATAAGAAATAAAAGGGGCCAAGGATTGTTCCTTGCGGTACCCCACATTTAAGAGAGCAGATTCTAGAAAGAGAACCGTTAACAAGACATCGTTGTGTACGATTAGTTAAATACGACCTAAACCAATCAAGAGCTGTACCTTGTATTCCGTAAAGGTTCATTTTAGCTAGAAGGATATCGTGGTCAACGGTGTCGAAAGCCTTTTTAAATCGAGGAAAACCACAGCATTAACATTGCCACGATCAATATTAAAGGCCCAATTATCCGTAGCTTCCAGAAGGGCAGTTGCAGTTGAGTGTAACGAGCGAAAACCCGATTGATGATTAGAAATGATATCTTCATTGGTCAAAAAGTTATACAACTGATCATAAACAATCCTTTCAAACACTTTAGCTATAACGGAAATGACTGAAATAGGTCGATAATTATTCAGATCAGATGGCTCACCTTCCTTGAACAACGGAGTAACTCTAGCACATTTCCAATCATCAGGAAATATACCAGAGACTAAAGATTTATTAAAGAGATCACATAGTGAAACTGAAATAAGATCAGCACATTCACGTACAATTTTAGCAGAAATATTATCAAGACCAGTTGCTTTAGATCTACATAATTTGTTTAGATGTGAGAAAACAATGCTGCAGTTAGTCGAAGAGAAGCTGAAATTGTTGTTATTTACCTTTATATTATTGATATAACTTGAATTATTTTCAGCAGTTAGAGGTATTTCATTAGCAAGTCTGGGCCCAATTGTTGAAAAATGGTCATTAAAAGCATCAGAAAGCTCACTAGAATTAGAGATAATGGTATCATTCAATTTCAGTTCTTTCACCGTTGTATTATTCACACGACGGGATGTAAGCTCATTAAAGGTTTGCCACGTTTTTCGAGGATTACCCTTAGATTGAATAAATGCATTAGAATAATAAGATGCTTTAGAAATTTTGATGTCATTGTTTATTATATTTCGCAACTTTTTGTACCTTTTTTCAATCGTGTGGATCATTCGATGTAATTGCTTTTCTTTTGGCAGCATCACGATCACGCATGCCTTTCTTTAATTCTGAATTGATCCAGGGTGCTTTATTTGTTCTAGTACGTCTAGTTCGGAGTGGCGCATGAATATTAACAATATCCAAAAACTTCGTTTTCCAGTCAGTCCACAAAACATTTGGATCTTCAGAAACATTACAGGACCAGTCTTGCTGAGCGATATCGTTACGAAAACTCTCTCTATTAAAATTTTGGAAATTTCTATAAGAAATGGTTGAGTGCCCTTTTGAAGGAAAAGTGAGAGATAATTTCCTATAAACGTAAATAAGGCTATGATCGCTGATACCAATATGAGAGACTCCGGAACAGACTACCCTGTCAGTATAGTTTGTATAAATTAAATCAATTAATGTTGAAGAGGATTCCGTTATGCGAGTAGGTTCAGTTATAAGCTGTTGAAGCCCAAATAAATCAGAAATTTCACATAAGCGTCGAGTATTTAAATCATATTGAATCCAAGATGCCCCTTATACCTCTAAAATAAAGAATTAGATGAGCCAAGAGAGGAGAGTGGTACAAGATGTGTCATATTACAGATGCGTTTTATTGAGGTAACCCTAACAACGAAAAATCCTTCCCTTTACTCCCCACACTTCTACATACTAGAAAACTGCAAATATGCATGCACACAACAGTGAAAATACTTAAAATAGTAAAGATCAAAGTCATATTTAAAACTGCATTTTCTCCCTGAGATATTGAAGTGAATTTTCTGCTTCTGGTACTTCCATGCTTGCACTCATTTTTGCTTTTCAGAAATTTTGTTGTTGGTATTTTTTACTGCACATGTGTTAATTATTTAATATATAACTAATAAGGCTTAGCTCCCTTGACTAACCCATATCTATTTGGGGCCAAGTTCTTATGATTTGAAGATTAAGAAATTGAAAATGAGAGAAAATTCGCTCTAACTTTTCCTTTTCATTCAATTTCAACATGTAGAGAACTTAAGGATCTTAAAGCCTGATAGCTTCAAGTGAGCCAATGTATGACTCAATAAAATTAAAGCTTGTCTGTGTGTCTTCTGGGGCACCAAGGCTATTTGATGCAGTTCAGGATGGAGTGACAGACCCTTCACATTCTGCAGACAGCATAGGGTTAAATGAAAAACAGATAGTCACCATTTTGTACCAGCTCTGCTATGGCTTGAGTGAAAAGTGCAACTGGTTTGAATGTGACGATGCAGTCGTCCTCAATGACTATCACTTGAATCAACAAGGTTTTGTGCTGAGCATCTCATAGGGAGCTCCTGCAACCGGCAAAAGGCAAATGAAATTTTCCATAACTTGTCATCTTGCAACACCAGGAGCATCAATTGCAACTTGTGCAGTCTATGATAGATGACTATATACACTACTACTGTGTATACACAGCCAAACTGACATTGGCAAGCCATAAGTGCTCCTAAATTCATGTGCACAAACACTGAATATACGAGACCCAGAGTATCAAAAGAATTATTTCTAGTGGAGAGTGGAAAGTTACTCCTATGGCATTTTGTTGTTGCACACAACCAGTGATACCCCTTTAGATATTCAGAATTTCCAAAGTGTGATGGATACGAATTTATATTCAAGAAGGAAAAAAATCTTTTGGATAGAAAAGGAATGATAACATATTTTATGATTTTTGTTAGCATACAAATACATTGTATGTGATGGAGCTAATTCTTATGTGGATGCCAATGCAAGGAATCAAATTCACAGATTTCATGTCCAGTGTAGTCTGTGCTTCAAACAGGAATGGCAGTCCAGCAAGTGCAAAACTGAACAAGGCAAAGAATTGTTTTGCCCTTGAACTTGTGCTAGTGTCAAAGTGGGAGTAATATCATAATGGTCACATTAAAAAGCATTAAATCACACTTATCATATTTTATAGTAGGGCAGGGAAAAGAATGCACATATGTGTATTTTCATATTTTATATTGAGTTCAGTTATGTTTCAAGACATTATGTAAACATTTTAAGCATAACATTAAAATTCTTTTAGGCGCCAATTTTATATGTATAAACAAAATCATCATAGAATAATCATCTTCCAAAATGGTGAGGGTTCTTGTCAATGAATCTTAGAGCTTACAGTGCATGATTATTAAAACGCAAATTCATCAGTGTTCCCCCCCTTGGATGCAAAATCAAACATTCAAGAATGAAAGAGTGTTCCGAAGCAATGCTTTTACAAATAAGTTTTGTTGGGATATACTTTTACATGTTCACGAAAAATCTGAAAACAAGGTTGAAAAGGACAAGAAAAATTTGTCTATCTTAAACGAAGTTTTAGCAAATAATATTTCACGATCCACTGCCTCGATCTCTTAATCTCCGAGAATAAGTAGTCGCCATAGAGCACCAATGTAAACCAGAAAAGCAAATTTTCGAAAATGGAAGGAAACATCCGACTACGGCCTTACTTGTAAGAGCAGGAAATTTGCTTGTTGATTTCATGCCGCTAAATAGTATCAAAATACTCGAACTCCCCCCCTTTGAATTAACCATTAAAAGTGAAAATATAGCCTCCCCGCAGACGTCCTTTGGGGTTCGTTTGTCACGCATTCATTTCTCCCCCAAGGACGTCGACGTCCGTGGGGGAGAAATGAACGCGTGACAAACGAACCCCAAAGGACGTCTGCGGGGAGGCTAGTGAAAATACGGAGTGACTGAAAGAGATGTTTAACCTGTTTAGTCGTTTGTGTGGGATACTAACTGGATCTCGCTGTACGGTCAGGGTCAAATACTACAAAAATACGGGGCTCACATAAATTGGGTTGAATTCAGGCTGCTATAATTTTAACACATAACATTCGATGATGCTGCTCCACATTTCACAAAGTAAATGAAGGGGTATATCTTACCTAAATGCTAGGCAGCTCTGCAGATCATGGACGATAACCCAGAAATCCGTGACCGCTTGAATGTCAACAAATCAACATATCACAACAAACGACCTCGTGAACGCTTTATCTGCTTCATCAGAGGAGCCAAATGGATGAAAATTAACCAGCTAAATGGTCCTTCTCCCATACATGACACTTCAACATGGCTGAGCCAAAGTATCCAATCTACAACACATGTCTGCTATTGACTGGGAATGCAAAAAAATCTCCCTTGAAAGTGCTTCAGGACAGCTTTCGGCCATTACGATTTCCGGTCAACAAGTGCTTCCCAGCAGGACTGACGCATGCGCAAACGTTACCACTTGCTGTTGTGAGGCCTTAAACTGCTGTTTAAAAAGCAAAAACTAAAATCCAAGCTTTCGCCGATCAACGGCATCATCAGGGAAGAGAAAATATTCCGCGCGCTATATATATGCAAAGAAAGTGCAGGGTGAAATGTGTTAAAGATGTGACGTATGTATGAAAGCTATAGAAATAAACTGTCAATAGAGTACAAAGCTCTAATGATGGACACAGGTTGAAAAAAGGTGTTTCCGTTTCCGTTTTTGTAACGGTTACCTCACGGAAACTTGAATATCCGCAGACGGAATTGTAACAACAAGGATCCACGGTTTAAAATAGGCGTTCTTTCTTCTCAATGATTGTTGAAACACTCAGTGTGCATTCGAGTCGCCAAGAGGTCCAAGAGTGAACACTGAACTCCTTCGTCACCGCTTCCATGGGATTTGGCGTTTCATTTAAATAGTTTTTCGAACTATTATTCCTCCCTGCAGTCTATCTCCGCAATCTATCACACTCTCCTCGCTCATCTTCACAAAAAAACGGCCCTGCATGTACAAACTACCAAAATGGAAGGCGAACCGACAGCGAAGAATGTTCAAAAGGGCGCGCGATTCAAAATTCAACGTGAAAGCGAGGCACGCATGCTCATAATCCTCACGCCTCCAGAGCGAGGCAAAATGCGTGCAAGCGTGTTAAAAAATCATTTATAATTTATTTTGCTGTTTCTAAATTGTTTCAAATTACGCTTCAATGTTTGGAGCGTTAATAATTTTAATAACACATCTTTGAATCTCTTAGAAAAGAAAGACAGAGGAAATCATCTATCACTTTTCCAGTATTTACGACGTGTAGTTTAACGTAATGATTCCTCATCTTGCCTGAAGCGTAATCAGTACAGTTAAAACAAATTTTATAATATGAGAAACCAGGGATTGATCATGAAAACCAGCAAATTTCAGTACAAAACCGCTTGCGGAAACGCAATGGAAACGCGCTGGCACGTTTAAGTCAACAGAAGCGCTGCGGAAACACGAAACAATGCCCCCATTTTCAGCTTACACGTTTCCCGTCGTATCCGTCCTGCGGAAACGTGAAGGAATTTTGAACCATCAGGTTTCCGCAACATTTCCGAATTGCGGAAACACCTTATTTCACCCTGTGGGAGTGTCTCCAGACAAAGGACCTCTAAAGGCGCTTAAGAATGGTCTCTAAAATAAAATACTAAAATAGAAGGTCTGCGAATTCAGTACATTCCTCTCGGGAATTGAGTGTAGGCTTGCACTTTCTAATGTAAAATGCCTCATGTTATAAGTTCATTCAATGAAGCTAAATTCAACAACTAGTAAAGACTACTCTAATATGTTCGTGTCCCAAGCAACTCAAAAACACAACGCACCCGGTTCCCCGTTTTCGGGGTGCGCATGTAAGTCAGTCAGGGGCCCCTAAGGGGGATCCCCACAGGTCTCAATGTTACAACATCTCCCCCCTAACAAAATTCAATGAGTCTTTGCAGCCTCCCAACTTTACGCCCAGATCTGGTTGTAAAATGGCAGTCTGTGAAATTGTTTCTGTCTGTCTCTCTACTGTTACTGGACTTGGCGCTGGCTTCTCAAATACAAGTGGCTGTCTTGTTCTCGCCGGGGAGTCACGAGGCTGGGTACTTATGAGAGGAGCCCTTGACTTTGGGGTCATGGGAGAATCATTTGGAACAGAGAGGATCTGTCTTCTAATTCTCCTTTAAGCACGTCCATATTCATCTTCCAGCATGTATGATCTTGGCATTATTTCAGCTTTGCGCCATTCCCTCTCACCATTTGGACGAAACCGCAGCTTGCCCCCAACTTCCAGTGAAGGCAAATCTCTACTCTGCTTGTCATAATTAGACTTGGCATTATGCTGTCGCTGATGAAGTGTTTTCAGAACGTGACGCACGATCCACTGGCTGAGGCAACAAGAGACGTCGATTAGTTGGAATCATTGTTTGAGTGCGTCGACTCATCAGCAGCTGGGCAGGTGACACACAGATATCTTCGAATGGGGTGTTGCGATACTTTAACAGTCCCTCAAATGGGTCTCTGCGGCAGCCCTCTCAAGAATGCGTCTTGCGGTCTGTACAGCTCTTTCCGCTGCGCCACTTGATTGAGAATACTCTGGTGAGCTAGTTGTATGGGAAAATCCCCAGTCCTCGGCGAATTTCTTCTTACTCATGGTTGTTGCTGAACAAATTTCTGGTGTTGCTGTACTGCGGTCCGTTGTCGCTGACAACTTTCTCTGGGATTCCAAACCTCTCAAATATTTTCTTGAAGTTGTTGATACACAAATGGCAGTGTTCTTGCGAAGCAGTTCTATTTCAAAGAACTTCGAATAGAAGTCAGCGACTAACAGGTACGTTTGGCCACCATATTCAAACAGGTCATTCCCAACAACTTGCCAAGGTAATCCTGGAATGTCATGAGGATGTAATGTCTCTCCCTGTTGTCGGTTGCGGAACGCATTACACACGGTACAGGAACGACTTTGTTTTTAATTTGGGCAGTCATGGAAGGCCAGAAAACATAATCCCTCGCAAAGGAAAGGCTTTTGCTCTCTCCCATGTGAGCTCCATGAATTTCATCTAACACTTCAGCTCTCAATGGTCTTGGCAGTACAATTCTGTCTGATTTAAATAACATGCCATCCTCCACACTCAGCCCTTCTCTGAAATTCCAATATTTCCGGGCAAGTTCACCAACTTGTTCTTTCTCAGAGGGCCATCCTTTCAAAACGTCCTCCATCACCACTGTCCTTGAATCTCTTCAGGGTGCTACTTTCTAATTCAAGTTCCTCAACAAGATTAACTCCGATTTCATCTTCGGGTTGACTGAACGGTTCAGTTTCACTGAGAGGTGCGCTGTTAAGGCAGTCTGAAATGACCTGCTGTTTTCTGGGGACATAACGTACCACAAGGTCATACTTAGTGAGATTCAGCAACATCCTCTTCAGCCTGGGAGGGACCTCATTCATTGGTTTCCGAAAGACTGACTCTAGCGGTTTGTGGTCTGTCTCAACAATAACTCTGTGCACGTACACACATGTGTGAAACTTCTGCGTTCCCCATACAATCGCTAACAGCTCTCTTTCAATATTTGCATACATCTTCTCTGGGGTTGTCAATGTCTTTGAGCTGAAGGCAACTGGTTTGCCCTCCTGCGTGATCACTGCACCAAGGCCTGTGCTACTGGCATCAACGCTTAGCACCGTTTCTTTTTGCTGTTATCAAAGTATGCTAACACCGGCGCACTAGTGATGACAGACTTTAACTTATCAAAAGCCTCTTGTTGTAGTTTCTCCCACACAAATGCAACATCTTTCTGGGTAAGCTGTGAAATTGGCTCTTGTAGATTGGCTTTATGTTCAATGAACTTGTCTAGGCTACTGACAGTTCCTAGTCTTCAAAGTACACCGTCTTTGTCAGAAGGAGGAGGTGTCTCACTGATCGCGCGGATTTTATCAGGGTCAGGTTTCAATCCTTCGGCCGTGAACACATGTCCAACATAGCTTACTTCAGGAACACGAAGTTTCACTTTCTTTGGATTGAACCTCAATCCTACTTCTCTGCTTCTATCCAGTACTCTTCTCAACTTCTGATCAGAGTCGGTTTGATCTTTACCATGAATCAGGTAATCATCCACTATAATCTCTACAGGAACCCCTTCAAAGATTTTGTCCACCTCCCTTTGGTAGATTTCAGGGGCAGAAGAGATGCCAAAAGGGAGCATTGTAAATCGATATCGACCCCAGGGGGTATTGAATGTTAAGAACTTAGAGCTGTCATCATCCACTGATAGCTGCCAGTATCCACTGCAAGCATCAAGGGACATGAAACTCTTTGCACCCGATAATCGGTTGGCAACGGCCTCTACGGTAACTATTGAATAGTGTGGTCTCTTAAGAGCTTTGTTTAGGTCCCTTGGGTCAATACAAATTCCAACATCATTCTTCGAGAGTGGGGTGTTATATCTTTCACTTTTCGTTTGTCAATCATTAGCATAAATGAAACCCAAGGGGTGTGCTCCTCTTCTTTAACAGTAATCCCATCTTCTTCCATCTCTGTGAGCTTCTCTCGTGCTGGTTCAAGAGGTGCAATTGGAATTTTTCTTGGAGGATGTACCACTGGAGGAACTGACGGATCAACTTCTAAATGTACTTTGTTATGTAGCTTGCCAGGTTTATCACTAACACAATCTTTATAGTCCTGCAAGACAGGATCGGTTTGAAAGAAACTTGGCATTTCTTGCTCTGGTTGTCTTGACTCTGGAGTAGTTATCTGGGTTCAAGGTTCATAAACTCAAGGACTTCTAAGTCGAAACAAGCATCACAACATCACCAGCAATGGCGCAAAATTTCCATCAACAACAAGATACAACAGGTTAAGTTCACGATTCCCATATCGAGTCGGCAGCCTCACAGAGCCCTTTGGATGCGCAAACCACCCCTTCAAAGGTTGCTGAATTTTCTGAAGAGGTTTGTTTGTGATTTCCTTGTACAGCTCATAGGGAATAACCGTGGCTTCTGCACCAGTATCTGGTTTGATCTGTACATCTTTCCCAGCAATTTTGACAGTAATCAAGCTCCTAGATTTCTTTCGAGTGCCGGAGACACTATCCAGCTCAACAGATCCAAAATATGTGTGCACATCGTGATTCATTGGAGGCTCATGTTCCACAGCTGCAAGTTGTGATCCTTCAGCACTTAATTCTTTGCACACTTGTGCAAAGTGTCCTTCCTTCTTACACTTGTTGCATTTCTTTCCAAGAGCTGGGCAGCGAGGTGGCTGAGTAAATGGGTGCTTCTAGCCACAAAATTTACAGTTACGAGCGGGTGTCTTTTCTTGAGCCTTAACTTTCCCGAGAGGGTGAAGTGAACGTTCGGAACCCGCAACTGTTGGTGTATTAAACTTGTATTTCTGTAGTTCGGCTGCCTCGAATGTACGGCAATAATCATGAACAGTTTTTTCAGCGTTAAATCTGGTTTCTTCAGCAGTTCACCTCACAATTCGTCTGACAAAACTCCTCCCACAATACGATCACGAATGAGCGAATCTCGAAGGTCGCCAAATTCATAAGTTAACAACTGTCTTTTCAGTTCACGACGAAATTGTCAATCCTCTCACCTTCCTTCTGGTTTCGCTGATTAAACACCAGTAGCTCATAAATTACATTTCTAGCACCCTGGCATAATTCCTCGAATTTGCGACAAACATCTTGATAGCAATCTTTGTCTTCTTCATCGGTAAACACAAAGTGACTGTACTCTTCGATAGCTTCTGGTCCAGCACAATGTAACAACATATTTACCTTCAGTTTGTCCGCTTCATCATCTTTACCTTTCGCAACAAGGTAGATCTCAAATTGCATGAAAAATTTCCTCCAGTTCTCAGCAGCATTTGCGTCTAGGAGCAATGGGCCGGGCATTCGAGAATCTCGCTCGGCCATTATACAAGATACAACAATACAACTCATTCAATGAAGCAAATTCAACAACTAGTAAAGACTATTCTAACATGTTCGTGTCCCAAGCAAGTCAAAAACACAACGCACCCGGTTCCCCGTTTTCGGGGTGCGCATGTAAGTCAGTCAGGGGCCCCTAACGGGGATCTCCACAGGTTTCAATGTTACAACACTTCATAGAGGCGTATATTAGCGGGGTCGTTTTTGCTCATAATAATCTTGACATCAATGCATGCCTTTATAGTCTTTCTTCTGGCACGAATAGATATGCTTTTTTAACAGAGGAGTTTTCATTATTGAGATGTTCTCTTACGCGGTCGTGGATGAAGCGTGTCGTGCTACCAATGTATTGCTGATCGCAGCTGTTACACGTGAGCTGGTACATACATTTCTTCGTAAACACAATCCTGTGTTAGAGATAGGGCATTTGTCTCTAGTGCATTTGGGCTCCGTGGAGGTGTGGGATAGGGCTTGTCTGAGCGTGTGGGATTTGTGGGCAATGCGTATTCGGATGTTTTCTTTTCTAAAAATGTTAGTGATCCTGTGATTGAGTCGTTCAGAAATGTAAGGGATCTTAAGGTATGACCATTCTCTGTTGGCAGGTTGAGGGTGTCGTTGAGGGTTTTGTGGGCGTTTTGTCTGCTCTATACTGTTCTCTGGATAACCGTCGCGTTAAGGCGAAGGATGTCATCGAATGTGTATAGGTGTTGTTTTGTAGATATATTTGAGGAGCATCTGTCCTCGATGAGTTTTCGTTCGTTGCGAATGAAGTTGAGTTTGGATTTGGTGGGGATAGCTGATTGAGGGTGGACAAATAGTGGTTTCTTGGCTGGCTTTTTGTAGAATTCAAAAGAGCTGTTGCCATTCTTGGATATGGTGACTTTGAAATCGGGTAATGACAATTACAGGCCACTCGGTGTTGTTTCTGGTTTTTCAATTTCAAATTTCAAATTAGGGTGCACATTGTTTATTACATGGTGGAAGTGGTCTGCCATTTCTTCAATGGTTGTTTGGAGATAGATGTCGTCAAAGTATCTCTTGTAAGGGCTTATCATAGGTAATAAACGCAAGCACGAGAAGAAAGTTGGTGCCTCGGAATATAAGAACCTATCGAGATGCCTAAAGTATTTCATGCATGTGATAAAAAGCAGCACATGTGGATCGGAACGGCATACTAAGCTGTGAGACGAACCATGATAAGCCTGTTCCCAACTTCGTTCCTTACTGAGTAATGCCATTTCGCAGGGTGCTGCCTAGTAACCATGAGTAAGTACTCAGTTTTATCATCCCCTCATCCAATCACGCATTATAAATGCCAAATTAGTCCCTAAAAGATAAACTTGGACTTAACGCAACATATGTACGACTGAATGTCATCTGCGTAGCAATGTAAGCTAAAAAGGAGCCTCTTTATCATCTCTAACAGCTAACTGGAGAACAATGCATAATTTTAAACAGAGAAGGGACCAAGAAATTTCCCCTGTGGCCCCCTGGTTTGGGTGGCAACGAAAAGTGACAGACCTCCATTTACTCAACACAGTGTGATTAATCAGTGCAGTCATGACCAGATACGACGTAAACCAGTAAACACTGACCACTAACCACCTAGGAGAATACCGTGAAGAACGGTTTCAATAAGCCGTGCTAAGATCCAGGAGTACCAACAAAGTGACCTTTGTGCTTCTATGCTCATAAGGAATGTCGTTCGTGACTTTCGGTAGTGAGACACAGTTTGTATCTTGGTTTTGCTTGCAGACTGCACTTGAACGTCATATGATCCGTAAATTGTACAGCTGCTCTTTCAGATACTTTTAAGTAAACAGGATTTTTCACCGGGTTGAATTTTGGTATATTCGTTTATTTATTTATTTGTTTATTTATGTCTGCGATGCAAATATACACTGCAATATTGGACATTAGTATTTACTAAATCAGTGAATAGCAATTTCCACGCGTTTTGATTGGTTCCCGTAGCTCGGAATATCCTTGGCTGTTCACTGTGTTGCGACAGGAGCCAATATGGCGACTCGTTTCGAGTCATTTTCGGAAGACGAAATAAGTGCGATAATTGAAGTAGTCGAACAAACAAATACCAAGAAAGCAAAGAACTTTGGCTTGTCGGTGTTCATTGGTAGGTAGAAAATTATTCCCATGCTGAATTTGCAACAAAATCGTAAAATGTACTTGACAAAATCCCCGAAATGTTTGTAAGTTCCTACTAAGTGACGTTTTTAATTTACAAAAAGTTACTTTTTTGCAGTTTTATGCGGCCAAATGATTTGGTAAATACTAAAACAACTATCCCCTTCAGGGTCGGTGAACAGCGCTAGATATATACCTTGACGCTTCGCGTCTCTCTATGTATCCACACCACTATTCACCTCCTCTTCGGGGGACAGTTGTATATTATTCAAGTTACCCGCCATCTCTCCACGCGCTGGTTTTCAAGAGCGACGGAGTCGGGGTCGGAGTCGTAATCACAATTAAGCGTAGAACTTTACGATCTAGTGAAAACAGCGTTCTGATTCTTCTGATTCCGCTTACGACTCCATCGTTTACGATCAATTGAAAACCGGGTCGTTGGAGTCGCAAGCAGAAGCGGAAGAGCTAAAACAATCACCAAGCGTGGGAACGTGCATTGTGATCGGTTTATCCTTTCTGCTTCCGAAGCCGGCAATCTGGTTTTCATTTTATTATCTAGATCATAAGAGGAACGTAAGCGACGAAGTCGTAAGAGGAGTCGGAACAAAATGAAAACGTTCTGATTCTTCGTAAGGTGGGTGTCATCAGCGTACATCCTCGGCTAGCAAGTTCTGGACCGATAGTAGCCGACAGCACAGTTGGATTTGTTATTGATACTCCATTTACTTTCAGAGATGTCACCGATTTTTTCCCAGATTTTCGCGAAGTAAGTTCATTGATAGTCTGCCAGGTCTTTTAGAATCGCCCGTATGCTTGTTAAAACTATTTTGATAATAGGCTTGACTCTGATTTCGCTATTTACTTTATTGTCGTTGTTTTTTAAAAAGTGACCAGTCATTTGAATCATTCGATTTACTTGCTTTAATCTTTAGAATATCCCGATCATGCATTCGTTTCTTAAGCTCAGATGTAATCCATGGGGAACTACGCGTGCGAACACGCATTGTCCTCAAGGGAGCATGCTTGTTAACAATAGATAGAAACGAGCATTTCCATTGTAGCCACATTTTCCATTTTCTTGATTTTGTGGATATCTCGATAAGGAACTTGTATTATCATCGACCTGCTTCTTTAATACCGTCAGTATTTTTATGTCTCTCAGCTCAAAAATGATTTTGGCTTGTGGGTCGATTCGGCGAATCGGTTGTCATCTCCGTGTCCTCCAGTTTGAACAATTTTTCTTTTAAAAATGGACCATCTTGTCCTTGGAAAACCAGCCTTTCATTGCAACTTTTGGACTCCACTATGAGATAAAAAATGATGTCACATGTCCATATTAACCGTTCTCCGTTCAGCTGGAGGTATTGCCAGAACCATCAAGTTTAAGCTGGTATAACTCGGTGTCTTCTCAGGGGGTGCCCGTCGCGAAAAGTGAGCAGTCGATTGTTTATTCTTCACGACAGAAAATGAAGAACTTTTTATATAAATAACGGTAAATTAAGGGGGGGGGGTGATCGTCGTTACTTTTCTAGATACATGCGGTAGCGACCGTAGATGTCTTCACGTCGTAGTAAGTCAGTAAAGACGTAGAACTCGCCGAATCTGTACATTTTGCAAGACTATTAAATCGTCTTCTCGCGTTGAGAGAGACGATATATAAATAAACTCAACCCTAATTACATGTACTCGTATTAGCACTGAAATTTTACGTTTATCCGTCGATTCTAAAGCGCGTGCCCGGATGGCGGGTATCGTGAATAAGGTCTTTTTCGTCATTCAATATTAGCGGAGCACCATGGGTAAGAAAATGTGGTAAACTACCCATTCGAGAAAATTTGGTCATCATGTGACCGTACACCGACCGACCGCCCGACCGTCCGTCCGCACCACAGGCATACCAATGTAAAATAACTCAATCAACAGGTATGGCAACCCAAATGCAATTCGAGGTTATTTTGACGGGAAGTCGCATAGCCACCCGCGTCTTGTGAAGCAAAGACAACTAAAGAGTCAATGAGGCCTAAAACGGAAAGCGGAAATTGTCTCTGTACCCGTGTCTTTTAAAGTATTAAGCTTAGATTAATTGTCATGTCCACAAATTTGGAATATACACCAAGAGAAAGACAGAGAAAAAGAGAAAGCAGGCGGCAGGCCAGCGAAGCTCAACCGGAAAAAGGGCGACAGAGATCTAGAGCAAGAGATAAAAAACAAAGGAGACATTTTTTTGTTGGAAGAATAACATGAAAATTTTGTAGCGGCGGTAACGAAATGAGAAGTGCTAGCGGCCACCAATGCAAGGTGAAAATGAGCCGCAGTGAAAAAAAAGTGAAGAAAACGCACGACACTTCCTCCATAAAAGCATTACACGATTTAGTATTTTGTTTGAGCAAACTATAAATTATCGAGAGCTTCGCTTTTAGCCCTGGCTAAATCTATATATTATCATTTTTCTAATTTACGCCTAATTGTAATAACGCTAGGCTGTCATAGCATTATGCTTAAAAAGGGAATAGGAAAAAATAAGTAGGAATAAATTAAGCACTCTCATGACACTCCAGGATCTCGTCTGATAAAAGAATCGGAAGACGACAACATCTTTGCACAGTTTCCAATTTGCCTTCTCTTAACACAGTTGATGTCAAATTGATTATTATACGGTAGGCAAAACTGTTTTCAGGATTATCAGTAATTTGCAGGGCTAATTTATTCCTAAGTATTTGGCATTTTCAAGTTTTTTGTGTATTTGCTTTAATATTTTGTATCACAACCTCAGTGCAATTGCGAAGTGCATAAAGTAAAAATGTCCAAGTTTTTCATTGATTCTTTCTAACACTATCGACCTCCCGCAATCAAAAAAATTAATATCTGTAGTTTCTATTTTAAACAACTAAAAAAATTGCTCCTGTACTAATTAAAAATGCTCTAGGGCAAATCCATATCATTTCACAGTATGCACGGCTAATCAGATTTTCTCTTGGTAAATGTAAAACAAACTGTGACTTTGTTATTTCCAGTTTTGTGGTGAGACCTCGTTCCCATGGTTACAAGTCCTTTATTTGTAGCAATGATT